GTGCTCGTTGCTAGTTTGTATTTGTAGAAATGGTGACTCTTCCTAACGTGGCTGCACTGGCCGAGTGGACTCCAGGGCTCTGCAGCAGCTCTCACCACCTGGACCCCTGCCGTGGGGGTGTTTATTAAAGGCTTGTCGATCTGGGGGGAAAAAATAAACCCAGAGAGGATGAAAGGGGGCGGGGACGTGCTTGTGGACAGTCATTTTCTGAGATGAATATGTCGTGGCTCTTGGTCCTTTCTAGGGTATCGTGCAGCAGTTCCTGGTGTTGCTGACGACCAGCTCTGATGAAAGTCTCCGGTTTCTCAGCTTCAGGTTGGACTTCAACGAGCATTATAAAGCTCGAGAGCCACGACTCCGCGTGTCTCTGGGCACCAGAGGGCGACGCTGCTCCCGCACGTGAGGCGCCTGCGTCACCCCAGGGAGCTGCAGGTGCTGTGACCGGCGTCATTGACATAAACATTCACATGCAGGTCCTCGGGGCAGCGACATGCCGCGGTGTCCCCCGTTCCTGCCCATGCATCTCAGTGTGTCAGCGGCTTGGTGCACGGGGGAGCTAGAGTCCTGTGTCATGCGTCGGAGTGCAGTGTATTTGTGATGTCAAGGAGTTAAATAGGCCGGTTTGCATCACTCAAGCTTATTTCTATAAGTCTTTCTAGTTAAAAGATACCGGAACTTGTTGTGGCTTCTTAAGCTCACCGTACATCATTTATATTTGTCATGTTTTGAAACAATTCGTTTCTTTTAGAGATAATTAGGGTGAAGGGTATTTATCAGTTAACACAGTAAAGTTATTGCTATTTTTTTAACATCTTCACAGGCAATTTTTGTTAACATAATCAGATTAAATTGAAACAAATGACCCTACAAATAAAATATAGAGAGTATCTTATTTCGGTGTTTTCAGTGCTGTAAACTATTAATCTCTATGAAAACCTTTGTATCTTAATGCATTTACCTTTACACATGTTTATTCTTATTTTCTCTTCTTTCAAAGTTTACATTTTTATATTCAATTTACTATTTCAGATAACTTCTAAACTAGTATAGAAAAAAGGAGTGACATAGAAGAAAAACATCCTTAATCGGTGCAGCCAAATTTCTCGAAACCATCAGCTGACACAGTGTGTATATATGAGTGACTAAAAAGTTAATGTACTATTTTATTTTCAGAATTCTGATAAGCATTGGAAAGAAATGGACTTGGATAATGAAGATTTCCTTTTCCTTGCCTATTTTTTCATTGTAAATATTTATCTACTACTAACCAGATGATCGGGGCACTGTTTTTTGTAAACATGTCATGTCTGGCCACATAAATCTGCCTTTATTATGTTGCCTAAGTGAAAACTTAGAAATTAAAAATTAAATTATCTTTCAAATGTAGCAGCTATTTCTTGAATAGTCTGTGACGAGAGGTAGTTCACTTGCCAGGTTTGGGGGCGGGGGTTGATAGAGTCTGGTTTAGTGTGCCACAGTATGTGAATTATTTAATCTGTGAAACCAGGAGAGCAGCCGTGTGCCGCTTTCAGCGCACGTGCAGAGGGAGCTGCTCCACTAGCGCCGCGTGGCGTGTCCTTCCAGCCATCTGATTCCCACGTCTGACCCCTGGGCAAGGAGTCCCTTCATAACAGAAAGGCAGTCCGGAGTCCTGGATGAGAAGCTGACCCGTGGTGAAAGTGAGAAATCCTTAATGTATGCATTTAATTGTAGTTTAGTTTAAAAATTCATCAAATGAGAAAATTGAAGCAAGTTTGTCTACTGCAAAGCTTCCCAGAAATAATGGTGTGCTGTGTATCTGCAAAGGAAGTTTCCCAAAGTTATCTGACCATGGAGCCTGCTTTTATTTTATTTTATTTAGAGCATTGCTGCAGGGATTAAACCTCAGTAGAAACCTGTCTAGAAGATGCCAGCCTAGAAGTAGGAATTAAAACTCCATCTGAGTTTAGGAGTCATCAGTAGTTAGGTTAGACATGCAGATCACAAGGAGCTTTGGAGCAGGTGCCTCCTGGTCCTGAGTCAGGACAGCTCTGGCAGGACTGGGTGGCGGGTCAGGGAGGTGCAAGTGGCAGAGTGCAGGGCGTCAGGCAGGGGTGGGGTCAGACCCACCTGAGATGTCACTACTGACCTACAGGCCTGTTAGGGAGTGGGGTCTCAACAGCCAGAACCAGGCAAGGCGTGGATGACATTGGGGAGCTCCACACAGGGCTTGAGAGTATAGGAGAACACGGGCAGGGATGGCCCGGGCATGGGCCCTGGGAGAGTCACGTCTTCATCTGGAAAACGTTCACCATTCTTCTGTTTTAGGCTTGTAGGGATTAAGGTCTAGCTCATGGTGGGTACTTAAAACATGGTGTTCTTGTTTTCTGGGGAAGTGAAGCCTTTTTCTCTGGGCAGCTCCAGTAGGCCAGACCTAGCTGTGCTGTCACTGGGGGTGCCGCTTACCTGCCTGGGACATTCAGTTACTGTAGTGGAAGGTGCAGCTCTCCTTGGCTGTGAGGGCGGGCCTTCCTTGTGCTCTGTGGCACTAAAGGACCCGACTTGGGGGAGGTGACCTTTCCTTGCCTGCTTGTCACTAGCAGAGGTCACAGCATCATGTCTCAAGTCCCTGTGGAGAGATGTGTCCTCCAGACATTAAAATATAGGATGGAGAGGCACAGCCAACTTGAAAATCCCACTTCTTAGGAAAAGAGCGCTTTTATCAGATAATCACAGCCATACTCAAATTGAGTCACGAGGCACAAAGGACATGTGGGTACCAGAAACCACACTGCCCTGTGTCATGTTGACTACCGTAGGTAAACAAATCCTCTAGTTACAGAGGACAAGCCTCTCCTGTCTGCTGTTCTTCCTGTTCTTTCTGTCGTCTATACAACTGAGCACAATGGCGAGCCCTAGGATAGTAATACACACATCACCTCCTGCACGTGTCTTTTGCAATTTAAGTAGATGTATAGGAGGATAGAATGATATGAAGAAACTCAGAATTCAGAAAAAGCAGTGGTGTGTTTGCAGGATGTTGGGAAACTGGTCTAATGAATGCAATGCCATGCGCGCACGGTGGGTAGAGCTGGGTTAGTTCCGTCTTCGCTGCACACGGACTAGATTGTGCGGAGGCCTGTTGGAACTTGACTTGGTGGAGAGAAAGGAAGCATGGCGGGTCGGTCGAGCTCGTGGTGTTGGCATCTGGGACTTCTGTCTTTGTCAGAAGGTCGCTGTCCTGGACGAGAACTGTACGTGTGAGCCTGCATAGCTTTAACAGCATGAGATTTCTTGGCACCTTTTTAGTGGTAGATTATAACCTTTTCATTTTCCACCGTGTTTACTAGACTGTTCATTCAGGTATCCTCATTCCGAGGTAGTTGTTAATGTATTTTCATTTAGGCTTTCAGATTCGTTGGCATTAATTTTTACATAGATGCCTTTATAATTTTTTAAATATTCACTTCTGAGTTATATTCCTTTTATTCTTAATGTTACATATTTGTATTTTCTCTTCTGTCTTCCTGGTCACGTTTACCAAAGTTTGTTTATCTTTTAAGAATTATCTCTTTTTCGGTGTTATCATTTTATTATAGGTACTGATAGAGTTTGGATGTGTTGTCTCCGCCAAAACTCATGTGGAAATCTGATCCTCAGTGTGGCAGTGCTGGCAGCTGTTTGAGTCTTGGGGATGGTTCCCTCATGAGTGGATTAATGCTCTCCCTGGGGGAGTAGTGAGTGAGTAGTGAGTGAGCTCTCGCTCTATTAGTTCCTGGGAGAACTGGTTGTTTAGAAGGCACTGGCACCTCCTCTCTCTCTCGCTTCCTCTTGCCATGTGATCTGCTCGTACCCGCTGGCTGCCTGCCACTTTCCACTATGAGTAGAAGCAGCCTGAGGCCCACACCAGATGCAGCTGTCCCAGAGTCGTAAGCCAAAACCTCTGTTCTTTATAAATTACCCAGTCTCAGGTATTCTGTTATAGCAACACAAAATGGACTAATGCAGGTACACAGTTTTTTTTTCCTTTATTTATAAATTATTATTTTATATCTAATACCTTCCTCTTTTGGTTTATTGTTTCATGGGTTGAATGCTTACATAAATTATTTTCTTTTTGTTAATAAGCATTTCTGACTATGAATTGCCCTCTGCATACAACTTTAGTTCATTCAATATTACTAATTTCTAACTAGTATGTACGAGGGTACTTCAAAAAGTACTTTGGAAAAGTAGAATTAAAAGATAATATGAATCACGGCGGGCCGGTCTAGAGATCCGAACCCTCAACCTTGGTGTTATCAACACCATACTCTAACCAAGTGAGCTAACTGGCCAACATCTGTGAACTTTTTTTTTTTTCCTTTTTGTCTTTTTTCGTGTCCGGCAACGGATTGCAACCCTCAGTGTTGCGCCCGTACCGGACTGGGACCAGCAACGGGATCGCAACCCTCCGTGTCGTACCCGCACCTCGCTCAGCCAGTGAGCGGGAACCGGTCTGCATGTGGGATCCGAACCCTCGGCGGGAGCGCCACCGCACTCCCAAGCGGCGCACTGTAGCAGGGCGCCACTGGGCCGGCCCCCATCTGTGAACTTTTTGAAATACCCTTGTAATTTCTGTTATTTTCTTGACTCTGTATGTAGTTACAGTTTCAGAATTTCCAGGAAATTTGCTTTTTGTTTAATTTTTTCTTATTGTAAAAGAAAAATAAAGGGAAATTTACAAAACCATGTATCAAAATAAATTACAAAGTTACAGTGTATAAAGCAATCTGGTACAGGGAATAGAAAGAAACATCAGTGGAATGGAATACAGTTTTGCCAAATGCCAGTATTCCTGGGTCTTTAGTACATGTTGAAAGTTCATTGCAGAGATGTGTGGTGAAGGTTCGTGGCAGAGATGTTTGGGCAAAATGGTTTGCCCGAACCAGTGCAATTGTTTTGGACAAACCATTTGGAAAAAATGTAAGAGCTTTAAGTCATATCACAAGAAAACTTCAGATGTGTTAAATGATTTAAATGTGAAGATTAAAAGCATTATAATTACTGGAAGAAATGGGGCAATATTTTTATTACCTCAGGGTTCATAACACTTTCTTAAGGCACCAATGGCAAAAAGTTTAAGGAAAATACAGATAGATTGCCTATGTAAAACAGAAAACTTGCCCAGTGACAGGCAACGTTACAGCAGTTAAGAAAGATGACAGATTGAGGAAACCTAATTACAGCATTTGTGAGAAAGTCTATATTCTTAGTTATAACAGGCCCCCACAGGTCAGTGTAAAAACTACAAATCATTTCAGGCATATCAATTAGCAATACAGAAAAGAAATACAAAAGACACAAACACATAAAATACAAAGGAATATGCTCAGTAATAGCCTCACGTGTTAGGTTGTTTTGACATACAATATGCTACACGTGATTAAAGCCTACAGTGTGATCAGTGTTAATACATGTACACAACCGGGAAGCCAACACCACATATCCATCACCCCCATGGTGTTTCATTGGGGTTTTGGTTTGCATTTCCCTAATTCCGATGATGATCTGCATTGCTTCGTGTATGTATTTGCCATGAAACAGCGTTTGTCAAAATATTTTGCCCAATTTTTATAAAGTTTGTTTTCTTATTGAGTTTTGAGAGATCTTTATATATCTGTATTAAAGCCTTTCATTAGATAGGTGATTTGCAAATATTTTAACCCGGTTTGTGGCTCAGTTTTTTTTTTTTTTAGTTGAGCATTTACTAGGTTCTATGCTCATCAGCTTAGAGAATTTTAAGTCTGTGGTGTGGACAAAGTCTCCCACAAGTGAGGTTTGTAGGATGAGAAACCAAATGCCAGCATGCATAGAGAACTACAGCAAAGCTGCTGCTGCTGCTTTTATTGTTTTAACCACAAAATGGAACTCTCCAGAGGAAGCAGTGTCTGCGTGTTAGCCTACAGTGAATTCAGAGTCCTCACTGTGATTATAGTAATTTTCAGTTGTCAACNGGGAGCGCCGCCACACTCCCAAGCGGCGCACTCTCCAGTGCGCCACCGGGCCGGCCCTCAAGCATTTCTTTTAAGGCTGGTCTAGTAGTGATAAATTCCCTCAGCTTCTGTTTGTCTGGGGAGATCTTTATTTGTACCTTGTTTCTGAAGGATAACTTGGCTGGATAAAGCATTTTTGGCTGACAGGCTTTTGTTGTTGTTGTTGTTTTTCTTTCAGCATTTGGAATAAATCATCCTTTTCTCTCCTGGCCTGCAAGGTTTCTGTCAAAATCTAATGGGTACTCCTCTGTATGTGATTTGACATTTTTCTCTTGTAGCTTTTAGAATTCTCTCTCTGTCTCGGACTTTTGACAGTCTGATTATGATGTGCTTAAAGAGGATCTTTTGGGGTTGGGTCTAATACAAGACCTT